TTGTGCCCTCGCCAGTAATTGGAGAGGGCAAGCCATTAGCACTAGTTATGTATGGATCACGGGTGTTACTAGATAACTCATCAAAAAATTTAGCATCATAAGTCATATGATCAGAAGCACCAGTGTCAATTATCAAAGTATTGGAGCCAGTACCTGGAATAGAGTCAGAAACACGCAAATTTGCAGAAGCACCAACAATGGAGTTATCACCCATGATTGTAGCAGAAACTCAACAAAGCACGCAGAGTATACAATAGAACACAGCACAGACACAAATACGGCAGATGCACGAAGACAGGCACGAAGACAGTAGAGGCACGAACACAACAGAGTACACAGCAGAACACAGCAAAGGCACAAGCACGTATACAGTAAAGGAACGAATACGACAGAGTACACAGCGGAACACAGCAAAGGCACAGGCACAAGAACCCTAAAAGAAATTATGGCACACAGTAGAACACGGGTGGGCACAACACACACAGGTCACCAGAAACCTGGCTCTGATACCAAGTCAAACAATATGGTAGAATATTTTCAAATATATTTCATTCTCCGAAAGGAGGTATTTATAATATAAGGTTGTAAACCATAGTAGGGTTAAACTAGGAAAAGAAGTGGTATCCTAATTACATAATGTCTATACAAAAGGAAATAAATAAAATAATATCCTAATAAAATAGGGATATCTCGCTAACAATGCGTACACATATTATTGTCTGACAAAAAAGGAAGCAATAGTATTTCAATATTAATTGTAAGTAGAGATGATAAAAGACTGAAAGTAAGTTGGTGCGTAAAGCTAAATGACATGCAAGGTTGTTATATAATGTGAACTTGAATCCGAGATTATGGAGCTTTTTGGTTTGAAATTTCATCAACATATCTCTTCACGTTCAATCCAAGATTATAGAGGATTCCTCTTCCAACCCAGAAATCAACATGGCTATACAAGAGCACAGGCCACAGAAATCATTCCTTCTACTGGAGACCAAGTCAAAACTTATTTTTTTTATTTTTTTATTTTTTTATGAAATGGACCAAGTCAATACTCACCACAAAATCCAAGTTGGAAACCAACATGTAGACTGTAGTCGGGCCCACTAGACAGACTTCAAAATCAACAAGTCAATGCATAAAGCACCGCAATAAAATCATGGTTACAACCGAGTTGGGCAACATATGCAACTCTATAAAATATTTTGACAGGCCTTAAAATCCAAATTGTTAGTACTGGCTCTCAATCACGTGGATTTTAGTATAAATTTATAGGTGAAATTACTTCCATATTTAAAAGCATAGT